AAACCCTAAAGACCCTAAACCCTGAACCCCAAATCAAGGCCTGCTCCGATGTGTGATGGGTGCCGGCCCAAGACACTGCGATTGAGAGGTTCCCGGCACAGCATTTCGGAGCATGATAGGGCTTAGGGCTTTAGGGTTTAGGGTTGAAGTTTTAGGATTTTGGGGTTTTCAGAAGTGGGTTTAGGGCTTAGGGGCTTTAGGGTTTAGGTTTGAAGTTTTAGGATTCTGGGGTTTTCAAATGTGGGTTTAGGGCTTAGGGCTTTAGGGTTTAGGGTTGAAGTTTTAGGATTTGGAGTTTACAAACGTGGGTTTAGGGTTTAGGGGTTTAGTGTTTAGGACTGAAGGTTTAGGATTTTGGGTTTAAGGGCTTCGGGTAACAGGGTCTCGGATTTGCCAATTGGTTGGCATCGATGTTGGGGCTCAGGGCTGGAAGGTCACATGTGAACGAGAAATGACCTAGCCTTGCGGGTCCAAATACCTGATCATAAAACCCTAAACCCCTAAACCCAAGTTTGAAAACCCTAAACCCTGTCCCTAGGGCCCTAGGGTCACCTGAAGCTTGTCGAGTCTATCTTGGGCTTGCCGTTTTCCTGAAACGCCCCAGTTCGTCAAGCCTTATGCCGTACTTGAAGGACTTAAAGGATCATGGGACGTAATATAAGGGCCTCAGTAATTAAATATACAGTTTCTTTCTCACTATAGTTATGCTATAACAGGCCCGTTAGACCCTATTCTAATTATTAAGGGCCCTATATTACTTGAAGGATCATGGGGTGCAATTCCTCTCAAGGCTTCCTTAAAGAGGGCTTCTATAAGGCATCTATGACGGGTTTAGGGTTTAGGGTTCTAATGATCACGGGACGTAGTATCTAGGGTTTATATGTCTACTTCCTTCCAGCCCCAAGTTAAGATATTTCTAACCTTACGTACTAAGTTCCCTGATCCTCCAAATAGTCCCTATTCACGACGATCACGGGCCCCCAAACAGCCAATGTTGTTTAGGGTTAGGGTTTGGGAAACTCTAAACCCTAAAGACTAAACCTCTTATGACAAAATCCCAAAATCACGGGAGTCCTTAGAAACAGCGAAAATAAATACTAACAGACCACTGACACCCTCTGGAAACGAGAGCAAGAAACATACTCTAAACTCTAAACTTAAACCCTACACCTCAACTTCCAAGCCCTAACCCCCCAAACCCTCAACCCTGAACCACTAAGCCCGAAACCCTAGACCCTAAACCCTGAGCCCTGAACCCCTAAACCCTAAACCCTAACCCCGTCAACAAGAAGCGTAAGACAACGCAGCGATCTTGGCTCGCACTAGACTCATCTCGCCCTCCCCATCGCACGAAGCTTGGCTTCTCTTCTGGCTGTTTTTTGTTGCGACTTTAGCCTTCTTGGGGCTAGGGCCCCTAAGCCCCAAACCGATTGAGGGTTTAGGGTGCGGTGTAGAAATCATAGCAGTTCATAGTGTGTGTAGTGGTTTAGAGGGTGCTCAGGACTCCAGCCTCTTTTGAGAGGCAGGTGCTTCTATAGTTGTAAGGTGTTGGGATGCGTGTGTTTTGATGTTTATGGTTTCTTTTTTTTGCTGGAAAGAAAGTGGCGGCACGAAAGTTTAAATGTAGGTGGAGTGCAAGAAATCGCTAAACCCTAAAGCCTTGTAAACCCTAAACCCTATATAAGCCCGAAGCCCGAAACCCTAAACCCAAAAAAAACCAAGCACTGAACCCTGAAACCCTAAAAACCCAAAGCCCCTAAACCCTAAATCCGAAAACCTTTAATCTAGGGGACTTAACAACTACCTTTACTATTTTGGGGGTTCCTTATTATAGTTGTAGTATAATGGGCCCCAAAACCCTATTCTGATTATTGAGGCCTACATTAAAAACCCTAAACCCCTAAACCCCTAAACCCCTAAACCCCTAAACCCTAAACCCTAAACCCTAAACCCTAAACCCTAAAATCCCTAAGCCAAGGAAGGAGCCATGGGTTGCTGCGAGTCGTCGGCGAGCGTCCAGTCAGAGGCCGGCCCCTGGCCTCACGCGGGTTCCTGGGTGTTTGGGTATGGGTTTAGGGTTTAGGGTTTAGGGTTCAGGGTTTAGGGTTTAGGGTTAAGGTTTTAGGGTTTATAGGGTTTAGGGTTTATAGGGTTTATAGGGTTTAGGGTTTAGGGTTTAGGGTTTATAGGGTTTAGGGATCTTCAAGGCCCCTAAACCCTAAACCCTTAAAGTTTAAGGGTTCTCTAAGGGTTCCTTTTAGGGATGTTTAAGGGATCTTTAAGGCATCTTTAGGGGTTCTTTAAGGGTTCTTTAAGGGTTCCTGGGTGTTTGGGTTTTTTGTTTAAGGGATCTTTAAGGGTTCCTTTAAGGTTTAGGGTGTAGGGGTTTCGAGGTTTAGGGGTAGTTGGGGGTTTATAGGTTTAGATGTTTTGGGGTTCGGGTATAGGGGTTAGGGCTCAGACCCTCAAACCTAGGCCCCTACGTCACATGATTTTATACCCTCAGCCAAGAATCACCGAGGCCATGGGACTTTCACACAGTAAATGATCTGAATCGAGACCCCAGGTAGTACTTCGAACGCGTGCTCGAATCTGATCTGAGCGATTTCATGCTTTAGCCTCTTAGTTCGGATCAACTGAGATGGTCGTGAAGAAGTAGTACAAGTCGTAGGGTTTTTCCTAAATGGTCCTGGTTCAGAAACTCCCGCAATGCGGTTCTGATTATCCGGGCCTCTGTATCCTAAGCCCCAAATCCTAAGCCCTTACAAGCCATGAACCCTAAACCCTTAGCAACCGTGAACCGTGAACCCTAAACCCTTAAGAATTAAAAACCAAAAAACCCCAATCCCTAAACGGCTCTAAACCCTTAAAGCCATGAACTCCAAACCCAAATCCTGGAAATCTGGTGCCCAGAAAGGGTAATTAGGGTTTAGGGTTTAGGGTGCGACTTAGCGTCTTGGATGGAAGTTGTTTAGGCTTTTCGACTTATGAGTTCTTGGCTTCGGGCTTGAGGTTTTTAGGGTTTAGGTGTTGGGTTTGAGTGTTGTACAGGACTTAACGGTCCAGGATTTTAGGGTGTCACGGCTCAGGGTTTTTAGGGCTTTAGGCTTGACGCCGAATAGGGTTGTGTGGTTTTTGTCGGTGTAACTGTTCGGGGGGGCTATGAGGGATGGAATTCACCCCGACCACTAGATCATTGCGTGAAGCACCTACAGCCAACAAACGCCCCAAGCCTGAATTCCGAGAACAATCCGATTTTTATGCCGTATAACATCCCAAATCCTAATCCCCTAAACCCTAAATCCTAAACCCTGCATCCTAACGCTGTTCCCTTCTCGGAGCAGGGTCAAATATGGACTACCGTCGTTTCAAAGGGTGCTTGATGTTTTTGTTGGGGGATGTCGTCGATTTGCGTTTTACATGCGCTCGTCGTTTGGGTTTTGAATTGGGGCCCGTAAGCCCCTAAACCCTAAACCTACCCTATACCCTAAACCTAAACTTAGCCTAAACCCTAAACTTTGGAGTTCGCGCTAAGCCCTAAGCCCTAAAGCTAAAAGCCCCCCGCCGAGGTCACGACGAGCAGCTCGCTGTTGTCATCTAACAAGCCTCATTACTTGACGGAACAGATCTTCAAGCAGGGGCCCTGGTTTGATGTTGAGGGTTTACCTGGACCCTAAACCCTAAACCCTGGACCCCAAAGAACCTACCCTTTTAAGGACTCATGCAAAGAAAGCATAAGAAGGAACCCTAAAAAGGAAGGTTCTATAGGGTTAAGGTAAGGATGAGGTTTGAGACTTCGGAGATTGCATGTTTCGGGACTAATATAGGTGCCTGAATAGTTAGAACAGGGTTTTGGGGCCCATTATACTATAATTAGAATAAGGACTCGCCCCCAAAAAATATAACGTATAGGTAATTATTGAGGCCCCTACATTAAGGTTTAGAGTTTCAGGGGACCCGAGTTGAGCTTTAGAAAAGTTTAGAGCACAGGACCTTTTTGAACCCACACCATCCACCAAGGAAAGCTAAACTCCCTAGGTCCTTTAGGGTTTAGGGTTTGGGGGTTTGGGGGTTTAAGGGTTTAGGGGTTTAGGGTTTAGGGTTTAGGGGTTTAAGGTGCAGGGTTCTCAACCCTTAGCCCCAACCTCTCAGCCCCAACCCCTGAACCCTGATCCCAACACTTCGGGTTCGCAGACTGGGGCTTGATCCATAGCTTTAGTGCTCTTAGGAATTGTTCTTTCATTTTTGTGATGTCTGTCGTGCTATAAAGCTCCATGGGGTTATGACAGGTTTATATGGTTAAAATAAGGCGCTTAAGATAGGAAGTCGAAGTGCCCACAACAACCAACGAAACCCGCAAGCCCAAACCTTAAACTTCAACCTGACCGTGTAGCACAAGCTTGACGAGCAGTTTCGGGCGTGGCTCACTTGTTGGGGGACCAGGAAACGACACGAACATAAACTACGAAAGCCATCAGGGAATACTGGGAAATCCAGACGGGTATGGTCCTCAACCCTATAGGTTTTTTTTATATTCATATAAACTCCATGCAAAACCCAGAGCCATTTCACGTATGGCCGTTCTCACCGTTGCAAGTTTCTCTGCAAAATTCGATGATCGACCTGCAGTGAGCGAAGGGTATGGGGTTGATACCAGGGTATAGGGTTAAGGTTTAGGGCAAAAGCTCTTCAAAGAGTTTACGGCTTAGGCCCTAAAGTCTAAACCCTGAACCCCTGAACCCCAAAACCTAAACCCTAATCCCTAAACCGTGCTTGTGGAGTGAAAGCTACAAACCTCCGACATCTTCGGCTGGGTTTGTAGTGTGACAGCCGGTCTCTAGACCTATATAATGTAGGGGCCTTAATAATTAGAACAGGGTTTTGGGGCTCATTATTACTATAAGTATAATAAGGAACCCCCAAAACCCTATTCTAATTATTAAGGCCCCCTACATGATATAGCCCGGTTTGGGGGTCAGGATTCTGGGGTTTGGGTGTTTTGAGGTGTTTTGGGGATTAGGCATTAGGGTTTAGGATTTAGGGTTTAGGTTTTAGGGTTTAGGGGTCTGGAGTTACATACATTCGAAACGGGTTTGAAGAACTAGCAGTAGTATCTCCAGTGCCCTTTCGAAACTGTGCAGTAGACCGTGCCCAAAGAACAGATTCTGGTTGGGAAAGACTAACAAGAGTTTTGATGATACCGAATCTAATCACCACAGCCCCTGCAATTCTTATGTGCGTGGCAGGAAGTACGACCACAACGGCAATGGGCTGCTGGACGCGACTTGGCTGTGAGGCTTCCTGATCGTGAATGGAAGCCCTAAACCCTAAACCCTAAACCCTGGACCCTACTAAACCCTAAACCCTAAACCCTAAACCCTAACCGAAACCTTAAACCCTAACCTCTAAACTCTGGACCCAAGCTACAGACCCTACATAACAGGGACATTGGCACTGTGCGGTTTTACAGCTTCTTGCGCTTCATTATGTTCAACTAGGCCTCGAAAAGGGCTTAAGTTAGGAATATGCATCTTACAGCGGGTCAAGGGTTTAGGATTTAGGGGTTAAGGGTTTAGGGTTTAGGGTTTAGGGTTTAGGGGTTTAGGGGTTTAGGGGTTTAGGGTTTGTCTTCACCGGCCAAATGGTGTAACCAGCGTGATGGATACAAGGTCTAGTTCCAATGCTATTCTGTGCTACTTTGTTCCTTTGCACCCTAAACTCTCAACCCAAACAAGAAATTGCACTCAAAAGCCCTGAAACTCTGAATCACTACACCCCTAAACCCGACACCACCAACGCCTAAACCCCTAGGGCAACCCTGAAAACGAGATCCTAAGTCCTGAACCCGAAGTAACATCAAAACTTTTTGGTGTACTATAACCCTCGTTTTGTCCCAAAGATCTAGCCTTTAGTTCCCCTAGAATACTGGACAAGTAAGCTCAAATTTTGTATTGCTGATAAAAAAGAGCCCTCCATTCAAGCTCCCAGGTGTCTGAGCTGAAGTCGTTGATGCAAGATGCCTTCCCAGGTCAGCAGAGCTTCATGATGCTTATGCGATTTAGGGTTTACGGGTTTTTCGATAAGTCGTTTAGTGTTTAAGGTCTAAGGCCTTCGCTCTGCGATTAGCTCTTCAGGATCCGACACCTGCTTTCATTCGGGCTTTCTTACATACACCCATCGAACCTCTGCACAGGTTCCTCAAGAAAGAGTGCCAATGGGCACAAATTTGCATTTCCCAGGCTTCAGGGTAAACCCTGCACCCTAAACCCTGCACCCTGAGGAAGGGTATGGCTAATTCTCCCGGCCCTATAGTCGAAGATAGCAGCTGCCAGAAACCCGAACTATGTACTCCGAGCCTGAATGTATGATAAGGGTCGGACGAACTACCAATAGTATGTCTTATGGGGTTCCCTCTTATAGCTGTAGTATTTCAGTAAGGCTCCCAACTTCAACCCTAAACCCTAGACCCTAAACCCTAAACCCTAAACCCTAAACCCTCCCTAAAAGCCGAAGACCTCCCTAGAGCAAAACCCTGAAGCATATAGACCCGAAGCCATAAGTCCAACTCTACATCTTTGGGGTACTCTAAGTAATAGGTGCCGTATTATAATAAGGACCCCAAAAGGGACCCTAATTTTGACAACCACCCATCTAAGTTTTGCCCGGACCCTGAAGAACCTACCTTTCTTAGGGCTTCTTATTACGATGTCTTTATATAAGCCCTTAAAATGGTAGGTTATCATTTGGGGTTAATTAAGGTGGACCCTAAATCCTAAACTTGGAATCTAAGCTCTGAGCCCTAAATCTAAACCCGAAACCTTGAATCTAGACTCTAAACCCTAGTCCCCAAACCCTGAGCTCTGGCCTTGCCTCGCACCTGTCTACCTCTTCAGACTTTTTTTAATTCTTAGGGTTTAGGGTTTAATACGGCGCCGTATAGTTTGAGAAGCCCAAAAAAGAGCCAAATTGGACAACCACGCACGTGGATTCAAAGGCTTTTTGGTCAGAACGCGACTGATACGCCTGTGCGCACTGGGAGTTCTATACTGACCCAGAGGGTCCAATGTACCTATATAGTAGAATGTAGGGTTTCTATATTAAGAATTGCTATTATGGTTTAGGGAAGTATCCCCCACAACAGTACATAGGACCCTTTGGGTGATGTGCCAGGTTTTCTGAAGCTCACAACATGTGCTGTTTGTGTTTTCAATCTTGCGTGCTTGGAACCGGGTTTGAGGCACTTTACTACTTTAAGTGCAGTCATTTCGGCTAAAACTGTTGATAGTTCTATTGGGCTCCCATGTTTTAGCAGCTCAAAGCTAGCAATGCCACACTGCAAGAAGCTTACCACAGCGGTCTTGGGTTATATACTGCTTATAACGAAAAACTGAGGAATAAGATCATGCCCAAACCTTTTCCGTCGCCCCCCACAGAAAAATGCTTCTGTGCAGAGGTGAAAACTTCTCGGATGCGGATATGGCAACAATGCACAATAGCCTGGACATGGACAAGTCTCCTTGGCCCCGTTTAGGTAGAGTTTCGTGATTATGGCTGCTGATCATCTGGCTTATGCTGGCAATATGGGGGTCGGAATGTGTACCTGTATTATCTTCGTAATAGTATAGTCTTGGTAGACAATATAGCTCTTGCAGCAACTTAGTTTAATTGTGAACTGGTTATTCTGGCCTTGTGATGAGTTCTCTAAATTACGGGCACGTCACGCCTGTGATCAGCTTCCCAAAAGCATTGAATTGGAACTTCTACCCTTGCCAGACTCTTGTCCTGATGTTAGTTCTCATGTGTGTGTGGCATCGTACCTATGAGCATCATGCTTCCGATGTATGCGCACTACTGCTACTACTGCTACTACTACTACTACTACTACTACTGCTGTGGCTGCTGCTACTACTACTACTACTACTACTACTACGACGACGACGACGACGACGACTACGACTACGAGTAAGGTTGGCTGGTTGACAGCAACATGCTACCGTGGTGCTTTCGCTTGCAGATTTGGCAGGAAAGGTATAAAATGTCTGGCACTTTGTGCATGGCGGTTGTCGCCACGGGCAATCGAGAGTCCGAGTTCTCCTGTGCAAGATAATTGAAAAGTAGGGTGTTGGGGTCCTGTCCATGATCCTAATTAAGAAGGACCACTCTGCCAGTAAGCCCTTTACCCTGAAGGAAGAAACTTGGAATGTAAAGCCTCGAACCCTAATTTAAGTAAGTATGTATGTAAGTATGCTTGCAATGGTATTCAGTAGGCAAATCCCTATTCTCCTATTCTCATGATACAGGCACCCGACAGGTGTGTAAGCCCGTTACTGGGCATAATCAAAGCTTTAACCCTCGCACTAGAACGAAAAGACTTAAACCCTCAAACGCTCGGATTGTCGACTACAAGCAGTGAGGGTTGGCTTAACAGTGCAAGCCTCACTTTGAGGCAGGCTCGCTCAGACGAAAACGCCACTGCACTTTAAAAAAAAAACGCACAAGCGTAAAGGCAACACCTGAAAACAAAACGATCCCTGAACCCCAAACAAAGACTCCGAAGCCCTAAACCCGAGTCCGCTACACGTTAGCTCTAAGCCCTATATACAGCCGAGACAACAACTCAGAGAAACCCTAACCCCTAAACCCCTAACCCCAAGCCCCAAACCTTTACAGATTCCGAAATTATCCCCTAAGCCCCAAACCCTAAACCCCAAACCCTTACAGAATCCGTATTAACCCCTATACCTAAACTCTGACACCACCGGACAAACACAGAAACAAAAAAAACTAAACTCGAAGGGATGGCTCCATCGGCGTGAACGAGCTGCGCGCTTTCCTGAGGTCCACCGAACTGGCTACAGTTTAGGGTTTGGGTTTTTTGGAATTGGGGGTTTAGGGTTTTAGGGTTTTGGGTTTAGGTCTTAGGCTGTGGGGGTTGCGTGGCTTCTGTGTTTTGAGTGGTGTAGGCTTGGGTTTTTGGGTTTATGGTTTGGGGTCCATCTCTATCGTTATGGGATGTTGGGGATTTCGTGAAAATTCGCGGTGCCGAAGGGTTTGAGCCCTGTACTGCTACCCTAAACCGTCAAGCCCCAAACCCAGTAGAGTTTTTTGAAAAATATCCGGCAGCCTTGACGTATCGACCATTGCTACTTACGGGTCTTGGGCCGAAGGCTTGACACTGCTGAGCCGTGACTTTATATATATATATATATATATCTATAATATATCTATAATATATATATATATAATATATATATATATATATATTAGTTTTTTGGGAGGGAGGGGTTGTTGTTAGGCCCCATACAAACAAGCTTTAGGACTTTAGGGTTTACCTAGACCCCCAAAAAACAATGTAAGGAAAGTTTGATAAGGAAGCCTAAAAAGGGAGGTTCTTAAGGGGCCAGGTAGGGTCATGCCACAAAACCCTGCGGCCCTTGGCCCAACTTCAAAGGAAAGGCTAAGAAGAAGCCATCAATGCAAAGCCCCTGGCTGAGATTTCCACAACTTCAAAGTTACAGGTCTAAATAGCCACGTTGGGGGCAATCTCGGCGTAGGAAGATTCAGAAGCAACGTACCTTATAGACCTTATAGGCTTTATACTATGAACATACCCCAAAGCCTTTAAGAAGGGCCCGACATTAGCAGCTTTTGTGGATCATCTCAAGGGTTCGCCTGTAGTCTCCAAATGAAACTGGACAAGTGTGAACCCCTAAGCCTTACCTGGACCCGTAAGAACCTCCATTTTTAAGGTTCCCTATTATGAGTTCCTTATATAAGTCCTTAGCATGGTCGGATCTTTGGGGTCTAGGTAAGCGCTAAGCCCTAAGCCCCAAACCCGGAACCCGGGGTTTAGGGTTTAGGGTTTAGGGTTTAGGGTTTAGGGTTTAGGGTTTAGGGGGAACCAGCGAGAGGCTGTATCAGCCCGGTCAGCAGCAGATCCGCACCAAGACTGTTCCTGGGACTTACTACTCGGGCCAACCCTAAACCCTAAACTGCCCTAAACCCTAAACCAATACCCTGAACCCCAAACCCTAAACCCTAAACCCTAACCCCTAAACCTAAACCCTAAACCCAAACCCTTAACCCTAGACCCTGGGAGCTTTCAGAAGGCAAGCAACCCTAATTTCGGCCGTAGGTGCTGGAAGGATCCTCAGTCTCCAGCCCCTTAGCAACGTAGAGGGTTTAGGGTTCAGGGGCCTTAATAATGACCTATACGATTTTGGGGGATTCCTTATTCCTTATTATAAGTATAGTATAACATACCCAAAAACCTTATTCTAATTATTCAGGCCCTTATATTACCACAGAATTCTGAGATCCCCAAAAACTCCTTAGGGCCAGGCTTGAGGGATTCAGGGTTTAGGGTTTACTTTCAGATTCAGGGCTTTTCTAAGAAAGACGCTAGACCCTGAACCGTAGGACCTTAACTAGAGCTCTGGGCTTTAGGACCTAGGCCTATGTAGGCTTCAGAAAGCATGGGAGCTGCAACAAATAACTAGGTGCCTCGGCGGTATTTTATATTTTCTCGTATAAGGTTACGAGGATCTTACATGCGAGTACTTTCAGAGGCTTTTAACGGCCAGCTTAAGAAGGCCTGAATAACTACCACTACTATTTCGGAGGTTCCTCATTGTAGTTACACTATCAAGGAGCCCAAAACCCTATTCTAATTATTAAGGCCCCTACATTAGGGTTGGGGATTTAGGGTTCAGGGTTTTGGGCCAGGTCTAACCAAAAGCTAAACCCTAAACCCTAAACCCCAAAGCCTAAACCAAAAGCACCAAACCCTAAACCCTATACCCTAAACCCTAAACCAAAACCCCTAAACCCAAAGCCAAACCCTAAATCCTAAACCCTAAACCCTATAAACCCTATAAACTCCTATAAACCCCTATAAGCCCTATAAACCCCATAAACCCCTATAAGCCCTATAAGCCCTAAACCCCACAAGCACCCTAAACCCTAAACCCTAAACCCTAAACCCTAAACCAAGAAGCCCTGAGCTCGAAAGGCCCCACTTCCACACGAAAAGAACCGAAGTTCAAAGGCCCCAAGCCGTCTTCAGAACAAAGGTTAGGGTTCAGGGTTTAGAGTTTAGGGTAGGGTTTAGGGTTTAGGGTTTAGGGTTTAGGGTTTAGGGCTTAGGGCTTAGAGGGTTTAGAGGGTTTAGAGGGTTTAGAGGGTTTAGGGTTTAGGGTAGGGGCCTAAACAATTACAACTACTATTCCAAGTAAAGGTTCTTCATTATGGCTATAGTAAGTAGAATAGACCCCCAAAGCCAGTTCTAATTATTAAGGCCTCTATGTTAGATCAAATGCCATTAAGGCACCGATCGGGCGGGGAGGGTCGACGAATTCCTGGCCAATTTAGGGGTTTAGGGCCTGGGAGCTGTAATGTCAAACGTTCTAGGCCACTAACCCCTTAAGCCTTGACTCCAGACCCAGAGCCTGTAAACAAAGAACCTGAAAACTACAACCCTAGAACCCCAATCCACGCCCATACAGTACACTACAGATAGAAATACATTGAACATGAGAAAGCCCGCCGCCGATCAGGCCTTGATCATCGTCGATGTGCAGAACGACTTCATTACCGGCCACTTCGGCCGAAGATACCCTAAAAGTCCAAAGCACCCGTATAGTAGCATGTCGGGTATAAAATATAGGAAGCACTACCCTAAGCCCTTAAACCTATTATGGTTTGGGACAGTACCCAGGACCCTTTCGGGGATTGATCGTCGGCGTTCAGGTTGGGGTCTTTGGTTTCAATGGCAGGAAGGGTCCTCGGAAGAGTATTATGAATCGTCTATAATATGTGGGTTTAATGAGGGTGTAGGGCTGAAGATTCTGCAAAGGGAATGCTATAAAGACTTGTACAAGCCTTATAAAAAGCCTATAGATCCCGATAAAACCCTCTACAAACCCTCCAGAGCCCTATAAACCCTAAACCCTAAACCCTAAACCCTAAACCCTAAACCCTAAACCCTAAACCCTAAACCCTAAACCGTGAGCGTGTCGGGGTTCAGGCTTCAAGGCCTCAGCGCGGGGGAGCTGCCGCCACATCAGGGGCCTCAAGACTCCTCACCCCAAGCCCCACGGCTTACCCAAAGGCCCCAAGTAGTTCATTTTGGGGGGGTTACCTCATAGGATTCTATATATGAACCTCAAAAAGGAACTACTTTAGGGCCTATGGGTAGAGCTGTTCGAGTTAGTGCAGTTTAGGGTTGAGTTTTTGTTGCTGTGTTCGGGCTTTTCCCACCGTTTGGGTTGCTTGATTTAAAATATTATACCGATCGCCGCCGATCGCCGAAGGTTTGTGTTCAGCTTCCCCTGAAGGCGGAGTAGAGCACCCCTACAGCCTAATCCTCTGAAGTCCTACAGCTAGCCCCAAAAGAACGAATCCTCTGAAAGCCAGCAATAAGCCCACCAAGAAAGACCGTGGGCCCCAACGTCATGTATCGATATTAAACATGTACATACACATACAGATGTATGATATGTACATATAGGTATGTATTTACTTATACATAATATATATATATATATATATATATATATATATGTATGTATATATATATATATGTATTTCTATATTCATCTGTTAGTTTTTCATCTGTTTACACATACCTTATGTATGTACGAGTCGCATAACTGATTGGCCCAAGGGATTTCTTAGTGCAGTTTGGTTCAGAGGCTTTTCAGGCTTCAGGCCTGTATGGGGTTTAGGGTTTAGGGTTTAGAATATGGCTCAATTTCGGGAGTTTTGAGCATCTCTGTCATGTCGAGGAGAGGTACATCTCGATGCACGAGGGCTGCTGCCACCGTCCCGTCATCAGCGCTGTTCTCAAGGCTTTGGGCACATTGTCGCCGGTGGACATGGCCCGCCTATCTCAGTCAAGGGAGGAATATACTGAGAGCAGCTCGGCTCATCTGAGCGGCCGAATACAGAGGTCGGCATAATTACCAATGCTCTTCCAGAGGGTTCCATATCATGGAACGTTCAAACCCTCTCCTAATATACCCCAAAACTAGTATACCACCCCCCCCCTCTCAAAGAAACCCAGTCTAATCGTTCAAGCCGTTATGCCCTGTGTTCTCTGGTTTCAGTCGGAACCTGAAGCACCGATGCGTCGTGCCGATGAGCCCTACACTGCCATACAGCTCATTCTTTTGGATTCGTGAGGTTGCAAGGCATTTTGTGTAGCAACAATGGCCCCTCTGAAGTCACTGGTAGGGTTTAGGGTTTCGGGTTTAGGGTCTAGGGCTTAGGGTTTAGGGTCATCAGATATCCCCCAAACTCCTTGTAGTCCCTATGTAAGTATACCATAACATATCCCCACAAACACTATTGCTAGCTGCTACGGCCCCTGCAATAAGGCGCAGGTGATTGGGCATGTAGGAGGTTTCGAAAGATGATGATTGTCATCTTGTTACCAACTTTTTCAGCAGCATTACTTTTATAGTAGTACGGCCACGTCGACTATTGATATGATGACTGTTGTTAAGTGTTGCGACTACTATTCGTAGTGCTACCATGATCCCTAAACCCTATACCCTAAACCCCAAACCCTAAACCCTAAACCCATAAACCCCAAAACCCCTAAACCCCTAAACCCCACACCTAGCATCGTGGACCGCTGAGGCCTGGAGGGCATCGAAGGGCTCATGCGGACCTACCTTCTCGACAGTGATCATGGTAGCTTGGATAGGGTCTTGGGTTTAGGGTGTAGGGTTTTGGGGTGTAGGGTNNGGGTTTAGGGTTTAGGGTGGACAGATTTTGGATCGGAATGTCCGAAATCGAACGCACTGTTATCCACGAAGTCCTTCTATAACTATACA